GGGCCAGCCTCGGGGAAGGGTGCGGGAGCCGGCAAGCAGCGTGGGGGGCCTGGGTGCCAGGGTGCTCCAGGCGCTTGGGGGCTCAGCAGAGCGTGCGGCCCTGTCCCGGTGACACCCAGCTGTCCCCCCCCTGCAGCGTGGAGGTGATCCGTCTCGGGCACAGCTACTTCATCAACTGGGACAAGAAGATGTACTGTGCCAAGCGCCGGACGCCAGCCGAGGCCCGGACCACCACCCTCAATGAGGAACTGGGGCAGGGGGAGTACATCTTCTCTGACAAGACCGGCACCCTCACCCAGAACATCATGGTCTTCAGCAAGTGTTCCGTGAACGGGCACAGCTACGGTGAGTGCAGGGCACCGGGGCCGGGCCTGGCCTGCCTGCGGGGTGTGGGTGCACCAGGTCCCCTCCCGCAGAGCCCTTGGGGCACTCGGGGCAGCCAGGGGATGAGGGGGCTCAGTCGTAGTGTTGGGGAGCTACCACTGCCCTGTGGTCCCCCTGGGTGTGGGTGCCCGTGGGGCAGCAGTGTTGGGTCCCTGTCCTGGTTAACTCTGTGCCCCGGTTCGCAGGTGACGTGCAGGACGTGCTGGGTCACAAAGCGGAGCTGGGAGAGGTAAGGGTGCTGCCGGGCCGGTGCCTGGCTGTGCTGGGTGCCGCAGGGGGGTAACCCCATCTCTGCCCCTGCCAGAGGCCGGAGCCAGTCGACTTCTCCTTCAACCCGCTGGCGGACCCACGGTTCCAATTCTGGGACCCCAGCTTGCTGGAAGCCGTCAAGCTGGGAGACCCCCACGTGCACGAGTTCTTCCGCCTGCTCTCGCTCTGCCACACCGTCACGTCTGAGGAGAAGAGCGAAGGTGGGTGTGGAGGGCAGGGCATGTCCCTGCACGGCTCGGGGCGCTGGCTCTGACCCCCCTTCCTGTCCCCAGGGGAGCTGTATTACAAGGCTCAGTCCCCAGACGAGGGAGCGCTGGTCACGGCTGCCAGGAACTTCGGCTTCGTGTTTCGGTCCCGCACGCCCAAGACCATCACAGTGCATGAGCTGGGTCGAGCCATCACCTACCAGCTGCTGGCCATCCTGGACTTCAACAACATCCGCAAGCGCATGTCTGTCATCGGTGAGGTCCTGGGCTTGGCACAGGGGCTGTGGGGCCGCGGTGGGGCTGGGGCGCAGGGCCGTGGTGCGGGGTGTGCTGGGGACCAGCCCCAGGCAGATGGTGATGTGACTGTGGAGGCATCGAGGGGTCACGGCTGGGGGTTGGAGCGGGACCAGCTCCTGCACCCCCATGCCTGCCAGCTTGTCCCCTGCTCCCCGCAGTCCGCAGCCCCGAGGGGAAGATCCGGCTGTACTGCAAAGGTGCCGACACCATCCTGCTGGAGCGCCTGTACCCCATCAACCAGGACCTGACCAACGTCACCACCGACCACCTCAATGTGAGTGGGGCAGGGTCCTGCGGGCAGGGCTGGGAAGGGAAGAGGGGCTGCCCAGAAGCTCAGAGCCCTGTCCTGGGGGACGATCAGGGTCTGGGGACACCGTTGGGGTCTGCCTGTCGCACCCAGCTCCGGCTGCTTGCAGGAATATGCTGGCGAGGGGCTGCGGACGCTGGTGCTGGCCTACAAAGACCTGGAGGAGAGCTACTATGAGGACTGGTCCGAGCGGCTGCACC